AGCAGCTAACTCTGCAACACCGACGCAGCAGCAACACCTTCCATTATCCACAGGAACAAGCAGCAGCAGCAGCAGCAATGACGATAGCAGCAAAGGGCAGCAACAGCAGCAGCAGCAGCAGCAGCAGCAGTAACAGCAGCAATAGCAGCAGCAGCAGCAGCAGCAGCAGAAGGCCCACCTGCCGATCCTGTACCCCCTAGCAGTTTGTGTGGGGAGAAGAAGAGGGCATCGGGAGCAGCAGCAGCACTTGCTGCTGCTGTTGCTGCTACAGCAGCAGAACACAACCAAGGGTGAGTAAACCAAAGACGAGGAGTCTCTTCGTGCTGCTGTTGCTGCTGCTGCTCCTGCTGCTGCAATAGGTGCTGCAGCGGATTGAAGTCAATAGGAACATGTGCTGCTGCTGCTGCTGCATCAACAGCAACAAGGCCTCCATGTGCATGCACTAACTTGCAAACGGAAGCAAGAGTAGCAGCAAAAATATCAGCATCCCTCCCGCTGCTGCCGCTGCTGCTGCTGCTGCTGCTGCTGCTGCTGCTGCTGGATAGGAGAGCTCCAGTGACGTTTCCTGCTGCAGAAAGGAGACAGACAGGCACGAGACAAACCTTTTGCTGCTGCAACCCCAAAGAAGAGAAGTAGCGGCTAAAACCTTTATAGCAGCAAGCCGGACCCTTGCTGCTGCTGCTGCTGTTGCTGCTGCTGCTGCTGCTGCTGCTTCCGCTGCTGCTGCAGCTGCTGCATGCCTCGCAGCAGCTATCTTCGTCTTCATCTATCTCTTGCTCCTGCGCCTGCTGCTGCTGCTGCTGCTGATTGAAGCGGCAGCAGCAGATAGACGCACGAAGCAGCAGGCGTCTTAACCCTGAAAGACAGAGGCCCCCAGATAGAGCATCTAGCGACAGCAAATGAAAGGAATACGAAACCCCTGCTGCTGCTGCTGCAGCTGCTGCTCCTGCTGCTGGTTCTGCTGCTGCTGCTGCTGCTGCACCTGGTCCTGCTGCTGTTGCTGCAGGTGCAGCAGCAAAAGCAGCACCGTTGGATGTTAGTTTATCTTGAGGCCAGCAGTAGGCCCCAGCTTGAGCTGCTGCTGCTGCTGCTGCTGCTGCACCCGCCTGCGTGTTCATGCTGCTGCAGTAGCTGCTGCTGCTGCAGCTGCTGCTGCTGTTGCTGCTGCTGTCTACTCTTGTCTGTACAGCTGAAAAAGGCAGCAGCAGCGAATGGTGGCCTGTGGGGTCACAGAGAAACATCACATGTACGTGGGGCTGCTGCTGCTGCTGCTGCTGCTGCAGATGTTGCTGCTGCTGCAGCTCTGTTCTGTTTCGCTCCTGCAAGACCTGTAGCTCTCCATCTGCCCCCTCTTGCTGCTGCTGCTGCTGCGCAGCAGCAGCAGCCTCTAAGTCTGCTGCAGCATGCTGATATAAATGTCTGCGTGCGTGCAGCGATGTTTTTAATCTGCTGCTGCAGCGGCGGCAGCGGAAGGAGCCCCAGCGGTCCTCTTCAAATACTTCAGTGAAAGCCTGCAGATAACTTTTGCTGCTGCTGCTGCTGCTGCTGCTGCTGCTGCTGGTTTTAGTGCTGTTTGGTGGAGGCAATGCCGCTGCTGCTGCTGCTGTTGCTGCTGCTGCAGCTTGAGGGCCTGATAGAAGAGATATTGCTGCTGCTGCTGCTGCTGCGGTGGATGCTGCTGTCTGATGGTCTCTCGCTGCAGCTGCTGCAGTTTCTGCTGCTGCTGCTGCTGCTACGGGGTGCGCCTCTTGTGCTGCAGCAGCAACTTGTGGGGCCCCCAGCAGCAGCAGCTGCAGGAATTTTGCTGCTGCAGCAGAAGCCCCGGAGCCGCAGAAATAAAGAGCATCATCAGGGCCGGCATTGAAGTACTCCTTCGCTATCTGCCGAGCCTGAAAACCCTAAACCCTAAACCCTAAACCCTAAACCCCAAACCCTAATAAACCCCTCCCTGCTTCACAAGGCGACCCAACCAAACCCTAAACCCTAAACCCTAAACCCTAGCAGGTAAGCTACAAAGCAGTAGTCATACGTGGAGGTGCAGAGAGGCTGCTGCCTAGTGGTGCGCGATTAGGGTTTAGGGTTTAGGGTTTACCTCTTGAACAAAGAAAGTTGCTTGTCTTCCGAGTGCTGCTTGATGTGTATGTGTATTAGCTGACAGGGGCAGCACTGAGGTGTATAGGCACCTCTCAATACATCGGAGGGGGCGCCCTAAGCCGCATACACTCAAGCGCTAAAGCCTAAACCCTAAACCCTAAACCCTTATCTCTAGCTCATTCGAAGCTCTACAAACGCATGAAGCTATAAACCCTAAACTCTAAACCCTGAAATAAACAGCTAAACCCTAAACCCTAAACACTAAACACTAAAGCCAAAGGCAACTTCAAGCACAGCCTAGAGTACCCTAAACCCTAAACCCTAAACCCTAAACCCTAAACCCTCAGAAGCGCATACCTGTGGCAGCAAAATCAAAGTATAGCAAAGGCCTGGGCCCAAAGGGCCCCGATATGATAACAGACTTTGTGCTGCTCCTTGTGCTGCTTCTTCTGCTGCTCCTGCTGCTGCTCCTGCTGCTGCTGCTGCTACTGCTCCTGCTGCTGCTGCTGCTGCTCCTGCTGCTGCTGCTGCTGCTGCTCAGGCTGCGGCGCCGCAAACCCCCGATTTGATTGCGCTGAAGAAATTTCAGGGCCTCAGAGACCCGCTGGGAGTCGGACGCCATCCCTCAAACCCTAACCCCTAAACCCTAAACCCTAAACCCTAAACACTGAGCCCCTAACCCCTAGATTTCAGCTGTTAGCATTTATCAATACACTTCCCATTAAAAACAAAGAGATCTTCTTAGCGAAGTCCTTACCCTAAGCCCTAAACCCTAAACCCTAAACCCTAGACCATAATTCTTTAGCGCTCAGTCAAGAGTTTAATATCAATTAGATTGAAGTAAAGGTAATTATGAAGGCAGAAAAGAAGGAAGATCGCTGCTTATTAGGGTTTCGATTTTAGGGTTTAGTGTTTGTGGTTTAGGGTTTAGGGTTTAGGGTATGGGTTCAGTGACCGCCCCACACCGGGGGGCCCCTGGGGCCCCCGCTAGCCGCCTAAACCCTAAACCCTAAACACTAGACCCTAAACCCTAATTCTTAAACCCTAGACCCTAAGGATTGAACCTGTCGTTCCAAGCCTCAAACCCTAAACCCTAAACCCTAAACCCTAAACCCTAAACCCTAAACCCTCGCGAGTCACCTCAGAGGGAACCCCCAGCTAACTTCAGCATTTAATACTTCATTGTATGCTGTCTCGGGTTTAGGGTTTATTAGGGTTTAGAGTTTATTAGGGTTTAGGATTTTTTAGGGTTTAAAGCTCATTAGGGTTTAGGGTTTAGTCGTATCGATTGCAAGCATTAGGGGCCCCTAGGGGCCCCCCTCAGCAATGCAGCAGCAAGCAGCAGCTCCGCTTCAGCGGCTGCTGCTGCTGCAGCAGCAGCTGCTGCAGCAGCAGTTGGTGCTGCTGCAGCCACGAAGACACCTTATCCCTATGCCTTGTGCTGCTGCTGCGGCTGCTGTTGCTGCTGCTGCTGCTCGTCGGTGGATGGCTGGCAGCAGCTGCAGCTACAGCAGCAGCAGCAGCAGCTACAGCAGAAGACGCAGTGATAACGACAGCAGCAGCTGCAGCAGGCACGACGGCAGCAGCAGCAGCAGCTACAGTTACAGCAGCAACAGCAACCGCAGCAACAACCACGGCAGCAACAACAGCAGCAGCAGCAGCTGCTGCAGCAGCAGTTACCCAACAAGGAGTGAGACATCTTTTGTAAAAGTGCAGGAGCAACAGCAGCGGCCGCACACAGCCCCGCGTGCAGCAGCAGCTGCTGCAGCTGATCCTGCTGCTGCTGCTGCTGCTGCTGCAGGCCCAGAAGCCGCACGTACAACAAACTTTGCAGCGCAGCATTTTCTACCTACAGCAGCAGAAGCAGCAGAAGCAACAGCAACAGCAGCAGCAGCAGGATCACCAAATTCAAAAGCAGAAGAACCCCTACCACCACCACCACCGCCACCAGCAGCAGCAGCAGCAGCAACAACAGCAGCAACAGCAGCAACAGCAGCAAAATCGTTAGTTGGTTTGCTGCATGAAGAAGACTTAGAATTCAGTGGTCGGCCTCCACCTCCTTTCTGTGATTTTCTTTGGGTGGTTGCAAAGGGGGGGAAAGGAGGAGCTCCTAAAGAGGGTGCATTCAGGTTAGGGTTTAGGGTTTAGGGTTTAGGGTTTAGGGTTTAGGGTTTAGGGTAGAGGTTTAGTTTATGTATCGTTCAAGGTGCTACTATGCTTCCCTTCGCTAACAAGCAAACTCTCTTTGTTTCTGCTATAAAGCAGCACGGACCCTTAGGGTTTAGGGTTTAGGGTTTAGGGTTTAGGGTTTAGGGTTTAGGGTTTAGGGTTTAGGGTTTGGGGGGTACGCAGGTCACGTGCACTTGGAAAGGGCCCCGGGTATGGGGGTCACGGAGGCTCCGTCTTGCTGCGCTGCAGCAGCAGCATCGATTCACTCTTTCTGCTGCAGCAGCAAATTGCTGCTGCAGCAGGACAAGACGGCAGCAAAACCAGCAGAGGGCTGCATGCACGCGACACCATCGTCAAGGTCCAGCCATAAACCCTAAACCCTAAACCCTAAACCGTAGTGAAGGGCTGCACGCTCTGCCCACAGACGCGTAGCAGCAGCGGCGCAAAATTCAAGTCTGAGGGTTTAGGGTTTAGGGCATAGGGTTTAAGGTTTAGGGTTTAAGGTTTAAGGTTTAGGGTTTAGGGTTTCGGGTGTATCTGCAGCTTCCTCCCGGAACGATTGTGAGGAAAAGGATATTGACGGGGGAGAAGAGCAAAAGCGGCAGATCCATCAGGGCCTCTGTCTTCTGGTAAACCCTAAACCCTAAACCCTAAACCCTAAACTCTAGATTGCTACAGAGGCATATTCTTGTGGTTTTGTGTTCTGCCCAAGATGTCATCTTGGAGTTCCTGCGGGATCTGTACGTAGGCTCTTCCTACGGTTTAGGGTTTAGGGTTTAGGGTTTAGGGTTTAGGGTTTGCAGGCAGCAGCTGCTGGAGGAGGGCCAATCGCTGCTGGTGGCTGCTGGCGGTCGCGGCGGCATCGCCCCACCCAACTTTAAACAACAAAATAAAAGAAGAGCTCCTGAGGTTAGAAACCCTAAACCCTAAACCCTAATTTCAATCCCTTGGGTCTCTCGCACCTTCTGCCAGGCTTGCGGGGCAGCTAGGGTTTAGGGTTTAGGGTTTAGGGTTTGAGATGTTGCGACGCGCACTTAGGTTTTCTCTGGTAGCCTTTGGGGGTCAGGGTTTAGATTTCGGCGTCCTGAGCTTAGTCTTTGGGGTTTCATATCAACGGTCTAGGGTTTAGGGTTTAGGGTTTAGGGTTTAGGGTTTAGGGTTTAGTGCGTTGCAGCCGGGAGAGAAGGTTCATCTTGAATTGGAATTGCGATTGGTGAATGATGTTGGAGTTGTTGGTGAAAACGCGGCTGGGAAGACTTCGCTGATCTCAGCATTGACAGAGTGGGCCTAGGGTTTAGGGTTTAGGGTTTAGGGTTTATAGGGTTTATAGGGTTGATAGGGTTTACGGGGTTTAGGGTTTAGGGTTTAGGGTTTGGGGGTTAAACCGTAATTCTTCAAATCTTTTTTTCTGTGCCTTGGCCCCGCATTTGCTTGGTGCTTCCCCTGCCACGTGACCCTCAAGGGTTTAGGGTTTAGGGTTTAGGGTTTAGGGTTTGGGGTTTGCAGCTATCAGTCTCGCATAGGGCCTCAAGGGTTTACAACCAGACGGCCTTTCCTCGCTTCGATGGTTTGGAGTAACGGCGACCGAGCGGTGATTTTGGATGCCCCTGCTTTATTCCCTGGGGCGCATAAAGTAAACCCTAAACCCTAAACCCTAAACCCTAAACCCTAAACCCTCACAAATCTGGGGCAAGCAAAGCAAACCCTAAATCCTAAACCCTGAAATTTCTAAGGCACATACAGTAAACCCTAAACCCTCAAAAATCTGGGGCGTATAAAGTAAACACTAAACCCTAAACCCTAAACCCTAAACCCTATACATGTCGTTTCGCTGCTCCACGCGTCACACAGAACTACGAAGTATGGCCACTAGGGTTTAGGATCTAAGGCTTGCAGCGCAGGTAGACGATGGTTTACTGTTTAGGGTTTAGGGTTTAGGGTTTAGGGTTTAGGGTTTGTGGTGCAGGACAAAAGACTGGGGCTGCGCATCTTAAGGCATTACACCAGGTCTCGAGTTTTTTTGTATGTCCTTGACCCCACCCAAACGGAGCAGCAGCAAGACCCGCGTTTGCTGCTGCAGCAGCAGCAGCAGCAGCGAAGCTTGCTGCAGCAGGAAGAGCAGCTTCTCCTCGAGCGCCAGCAGCAACAAAACAACTGCTGCACCAGCAGCGACGCAAACACCGATGCAGACTTGCAGCAGCAGCAGCAGCAGCAAACGCAACAGCAACAGCAGCAAGAGCAGCAGCAGCAGCAACGACAGGAAGGAGAGCAAGAACAACAACAGCAGCAAAAGCAGCAGAACCAGCAGCAACACCAGCAACACCGGGAGCGGCAGAAGCAGCAGCAGCAGCAACAGCAGCAGCAGCAGCAGCAGCAACAGCTGCAGCAGCTGGAAGAAACGCGTCTTCTTCGGGTGTATGGGGAGCTGTCGCCTGATATATTCTGCCAATTCTTGAGGCTGAGACGAGAATTAAAACTTCACGATAAACACTTTGATAGAAAAACGGAACTCGTATCTCTAGACCCTAAACCCTAAACCCTAAACCCTAAACCCTTAACCCTTAACCCCTTGGGTTCAAATTTGCCAAGTTGTCGTCATCTGTCTGTCTTTGCTGCTGCTAGCCATGTGCCGCTGCTGTTGTTGTTGCTGCTCCTGTTACTGCTGATACTGCTGCTGTTGCTGCTGCTGCAGCTGCTGCTGTTGCTGCTGCTCCGGTTGCATTAGCACTTATGCTGCCGCTGCTGTTTTGCCTCTCCCTCAATAAAGCTGTTGCTTCTGCAGCTGCTTCTTTGTTGCTCCTGCTGCTGCTGCTGCTATTTATGCTGCTGCTGCTATTTATGCTGTTGCTGCTGCTGCTGCTGCAGGTAGTTGTGACTAAGTGTGACGTCTTAGAGCGGCAGCCGCTGCTTGCTGCAGATTCTCTTCACCACCGCATGCAGCACTTCTTCCCTCAGATACCCGTACTGGGTAAACCCTAAACCCTAAACCCTAAACCCTAAACCCTAAACCCTAGCTTCCGTTGCCTCTGTCGCTGTGTGCTGCTGCTGCTGCTGCTATTTGTGTTATTGATGCTGCTGCTGCTGGCACTTGCGCCTCTCCTGCTGCTATTTATGCTGGTGCTGCGGCTATTTAGGCTGCTGCTGCTGCTATTTATGCTGCTGCTGCTGCTGTCGTTGCTGTTCTCTGCAGCGGCGTCGCCTCGTTTTGGTTTGGGTTGTGCTGCTGTTGCTGCTGAGGTGTACAGGCTGCTGCAGCAGCAGCGGCAGCAGCAGCAGCAGCAGCAGCTGGTGCCCCTGCGGCGTTCAACTGTTAATCTCGAAGAAACCTCCCTCGCTCTAAACCCTAAACCCTAAACCCTAGACATGAGTACAGCTGACGTTACCCTCATGCCTTCAGCAAACTTCTAAGGCATAGTAATACCGGGTTTAGCTGCAGCTACTGCTACCTCTCCTGCTGCTGTTGCTGCTGCAGCTGCTGCTATCGCCCCTGGTGCAGCTACTGCTACCTCTCCTGCTGCAGCTGCTGCTACCGCTCCTGCTGCAGCTACTGCTACCTCTCCTGCTGCAGCTGCTGCTATCGCTCCTGCTGCAGCTGCTGCAGCAGCAGCTGCTGCTGCCGCAATAATAGCAAATTCGAATCCCTTGACGGAAACCAAACCAACGGCAGTCCCCGTGCTGCAGCAGCAGCAGATGCTGCTGCAGCAGTTGCTGGTGCAGTTGCAGAAGCAACTGCTGCTGCAGGGGCCAGGTTCCAGCAGCAGCAGTACCTGCTGCAGCAGCTGTAACAGCAGCAGCGGCTGTTGCTGCTGCTGCTGCTGACCACCTGAATGCCTTGCTCTGTCTCGCGCGAATAAACTTCGCGCGTCGCTGTTTCTTAATTTCTTTTTAATTAATAAATTAATTTATTTATTTTAATTAATAAATTAATTTATTTTTATTTTAATTAATAAATTTATTTATTTATTTATTGTATCTCAATTTTTTGTATTTTACTGCATCATTAACGGCACTGCGCAGACACGGGCAGAAAATGAAAGCGGAGGAGGCAGCAGCAGCTCTTCCTTGCTTCTGCTGCTGCTGCTGCTGCTGCTGCTGCAGCTGCAGCTGCAGCTGCTGCCACCGCTGTTACCGCTGCAACTAATGTTGCTGCCGCTGCTGCTTCAAAGGCTCCAGCTGCTGCTGCAACTGCTGCTGCTTTCCGTTGCTGGCATTGCTGCAGCTGCTGCTACCTTCGTTGCTGGCATTGCTACAGCTGCAGCTGCTGCTGCTGTCACAGCTGCAACTGCAACTCGAAACCGCTGCTGCTGCTGCTGCTGCTGCTGCTGCTTCTGTTACTGTTGCTGCTACTGTTGCTGCTGCTGCTGCTGCAGTTTAGCGTTGTCCCCTGCTTATAGCCAAGTCGAAATCAGAAGTAGTTAAAAGCCGTTTATAATAAACAGCATCATGCCCCTGAGGCCTCTGTCTTGTTGTATCTACTTGTATGGTAACTTCATAAAGTAAAGGGTCTTGCTGCTGCTCCATACGCCCCATACCTGCTGCTGCTGCTGCTGCTGCTGCTGCAGCACCTGCTGATGCTGCAGATTTTATCCACACACGAAGAGCGTTCTGCACATCATACATCTGGCAGGCAGGAGGAAGGCTGAGGCGAGCAACAGCAGCTTCAAGAGCAGCAGCAGCATCTGCAGCAGCAGCGGAAGCAGAAGCAGCAGCAATACCACCAGCAACTGGAAGTGCAGCAGCAGCAGCAGCTGATGCGCTGGGGCCCCCAAGAATAACTTCACTTCTTGCACCAAAGACACGAGGGCTAAAGGTTGTATAGATCCTCCAAGTGCATCTCCAGACTTCTTTGAATTCAAATAAAGATGCATGAATATTGCTGCCGACTCCTGCTGCTACTGCTGAAGCAGATACACTATTAACAGGCGTTAGCATCGATGATAGACCCATTGCTGCACCCCAGTATCTTGGTGCTTCACAATTTGTGTCTTCTCCGAAGAATTCATAGACTTTTCTCGGCATAGATTGTACTCTTGCTCCAACGATATATTGTTCTTTTTTAAATAACTCAACAAAGAAAGGTCTCGTTGGTACATTACTACATTCACAAAATGAAGATAAAGGAGTTGAAGCTGTACGTATATCTACAGATCCTGCTACGCGTCTAGCTGTAGATGCAGCAATACGAAAAGGATTCCAAGAGAAACGAGGGCAATTTTCTAAGAAAAATGTTAAAGTGTTTGTACTTGGTCTGCACATAATCTCTATTGAGCCCCATTTTAAATCATTCCATTCGTTATCTGTTAAAGAAAGTACACTGTAGTCGCTGCGACATCTATCCATATCAATTCGAGTTGAAGGCAGTAAGACGCTCGGTGTTGAACAGCTAAAATCTGCATATCCTGGGCCTTGTAGATGACCTCCATATACACCACCAAATGTTCCATATGGAAGTCCTGCTGATTCTACTCCATTTGCTGCTGCTGCTAATATTGCTGCTGCTGCTGCTGCTGCTGCTGTTGTTGTTGTTGTTGTTGCTGCTGATCCTGCTGATAACCAGCCCCCTGTATATGCTCCTGATACCAATGTTACTCCATCATTAAATGGATATGATGAAGAAAACAGAAATAATATTAAAAACATACAATACATTAATGATCTTTTATAATCTAAACAGACAAACAACCTAGCAGCACCTTGTAGAAGGCTCTGCCGCTTTATATTCATTTTCGTGTATATAAAGCCAGCAGCAGCACCTGAACTTCCTCGAGTTTTTTAATCTTCTTACTTCCTTCTCAATTATAATTAACTCCTATTTCTATCATAGAACAGACAAATCAGCAAAGAAAACAAAGAAGTTCGATATGCCGTTCCCTCAATCGAACGGTGAACGCCTCGGCGACAACAACAGAGATTAGGGTTTAGGGTTTAGGGTTTAGGGTTTAGGGTTGCAAAGAAAGTTTATTTCCCTCTTCCCAGTCAGAATACAACACAAAGAACAAACAATACGCAAAAAGCAAAGGAGAGCGAGAAGCGCAGACTCAGAGGCCCCAAGGCAGCCGCTTCCAGCTCCTTCCCCTCGCAGACCCTAAACCCTAAACCCTAAACCCTAAACCCTAATTTAACTTGCCTTAAACCCTTTTAACTCTATTTAATTGCATTAAATACAGCTAACAACCCAATTTATTCTACACTTCAGGCCTTTCTTTCCTTCTCACCTTCTTCTCGTTACCACTACGTCGCGCTCGAGGGTTTAAACCCTAATAATACAGGTATGTGCAACTTCGGCTATACATACACTCTATTCTTCTAGTAGCTCTAACATCTTTTAAATATCTTATTTTACTCGTCTTCTCTTAAAAGGCATACACACCCACTGCAGATTCGCCCGGGTGCAGCCGTAGCTTGCAACCGAGTCATTCAAATAATAAAATACTCAAAAAACATATACCCACAGGAAGTCTGACTCAATAAAAGACATCTTTAGAAAGATATGCACTGCGACGGCTATAGAAGACTTAAGGAAGGGAAGTGGAGGGGGGTGGGGGGTTGAGGAGGGTGCTGTTGCTGAGAGAGGGTTTAAATAAGGGTTTTGTTTGTTTTGTTTATTATTGCAGTTTATTGAGTTTTATTTCGTTTCCTTTGATTGAAAAAAATGCTGTTGCTGTGTTGAAGGACTTCGGTCTCCAGGTGTCTCATGAAGAGCAGCACAAGGGTTTGGGGTAAAAGCAAAAGGAAGGAAAGGTTTATATGTGCAGCGCTACTTGCTGCTCTTCTTTCTGCAAGGCAGCAGCTCAAGCGCATGCACCACCGTCATGGGTCTGTTGCTGCATGCACGATCGCATTAAGCAATTTATTAATAACACTTTCTTAGCTTTCAGGAGCTAACATCCATCCAAGTAAATTGATTTGAGATGGACATTTAACAAGCATTAACATTCACCCCCAATCACCCCTCTCCCGCCTGATAATTAATTACATGCCCTTGTGTATCGGGTCTATTGGAAGGAGAGGAAGGGAGTGAGGAGAAGGCTTCTCTTCCACTTGTTGCTGCTGCAGCGTGCGTTGCTTCTGGTGACCCATCAGTTCCTCTAGGTGAACCTCTTGCTGCCGCGTCTCTTGCTGCTGTGTCGCTTACTGTTGGAGTCGCCTGTGCACCGATACTACTGCAATAAAACCAGCGTCATCAGGCCCTCTTGCTGCCGATTGTGGGGCTGTTGCTCCAGATCGGGTTGCTGCACCATGTGGTGCAGCTGCTGTTGCTGGTGTTGCTGACCCCAGCGCTGCCGTTGCTGCTGCTGGTTCTGCTGCCGCAGCCTGTGTATTCCGCAGCAAAAGATAATTTCTTTAGCACTCAAAGGAGCCTGAAATACGAAGATAAGTGGAGAGGAGATGAAAATGTCCGGGGTGTCTCAACGGCTGTCGTAGGTGGAAGGAGCCGCCCCGGTGCAGCAGCTGCGGCTGCTGCGCCTCTGCTGCAGGAACGTATGTTGCTGCGGCCGATGCAGCTGACTTCAACTAAAAGCGATCTCACTGCCTGCATCAGGTCTCCATATTATTACGATTTCCAGGAGCCCAGCAACAGCAGTAGAGCCGGCAGCAGCAACAGCCAAAGGAGTAGTAGCGGCGAGAGGCGCTGCTGCTGTTGCTTCTGAAGCAGGGGACGCGTAAACTTCCACGGATATGAAGCGGTAACTTATGTATCTGTTGACAAATCTACTACTGCCTGATGATGTTTCGTGAGGTCTTAAGTACGTCGGCATCGAAGCCCTCTCGCTGGGCTGCGAGTGGCGCCTTCCGCATTTTAAATCCTTGCTGCGGCTACTGAATATGTTGATGCTCAAAGAGCTTCTATCAGCGTTGTTGTTGTTACTGCCCCTGCTCATGCTGCTGCTGCTGCTGATGGTGCTGCTTTCGGCAAGGCGTGCCACTGTTACTGGCTGCGCTGGTGCGCTGCTGCGCTGAGAGATGGAGTTTCAACGCAATCTTTAGGCTGGCTTCCTAAAGGAGACAAAAAGAATATGCTGATAAGCCGCAGCTACGTAGCGAAAACATACACACATGAGCCGGGGAGCACCCGGTGAACTCTGAAGGCAGCAAAGGCAAAATATTTGAAGATTAAAAGGGTTGTCGGCGGCGGAGTAACGAAGAAAAGAGTAGGTCGCAGCAAGGAAAAAGTTCGCATCGGTGGGCGTGGGTATTAAACCTCTATGCAGGTGCGTAATGAAAGTTTGTACGCTCCCCAAAATTTAGCCGGCGTGTGCATTCACGCATTGCATTGCGTTGCAGGCGACACCTTTAAAACGAAGAACGGCAAGTAACTGTTCCTGAAGAATTGCTTGACGCAAATGATCCCCAGAGATCCATTTGTTTTCTCCTATATCCCTGGCCATTTGAAGCAGCATCTTCTTCTTCTTTAGCTTTTGCGAGTCCTTACAAACGTGCACAGGGTCTCAGTTTCCTTCTGCTTCCCCTTCCCCCCATAACGGTACCTTCGTTTTGTGGGGAGAGTTCAAAAACATTTTGATGTTGGCCTGGAGCCGTTTCATTAGAAAACCGAAATTGTTGGTTCTGTGCGAGCTCCAAGCTTGGGTGTAAAACGACGGTGGAAGAAGACGATTTACCCTGAGGAATTGAAACAAAATAACCCTACACAACGGATGGAGATCTTCCCCGGTTGCTCGCCCTGCTGGGTACCAACGCACTCGAACCAACTAATCATGATTAAAAGTGACCTCCGAAAGCCGTTTGTCGATGCGTCTCACATGGAGTTATCACGCTTTCTTCTTGCACTCCTTAGGTGGCGCAAGCTGTATGTGGAAGTCTGCCGTTGAGGGATTACGGGTTTGCCTGCCACCCACCAGGCCGAACGCCTGCACAGACAATAGTGTGCTTCAGTGTAGACCAGCGAAGCGGGAATACAACGGGTACAAGGGTGAGTCTTTGCATAATATACCCAATCCGTACAGGAGAGGAAACCAAGCAACTTTGATGAAGTTTGGATGCAGCGTCGCTAATGCTGCAGAAGCATGCGGGTGGTGCATTCAGGTTGAGCGTCTCCCTCCGTTAAAATGGGGGTGATCATGTTATGATCGGTATTACGCTGTTTCATTGATTCGTACGAAAATGTGATAAAGGTCTTCGGGTCCGTGTCAGGGATGGTGGATTTCGTAGAACCGTGAAGCTTCCAGAGATAACCACTCAATAAATTTGCCCCTTCCCAGAAGGTATCTGAACTCAAACAGTTTGTACACTGTGCACATTTGCTGAGTCTATGTGCACCAGCGCGAATGCTATTGCAGCCTCTGACTAATGATTAAATCAACGTGAAGTCCATTGATATATCCGCCCAGATCCCTGTAGGAAACGGAGATTTCCGCAAGAGTCAGGGTTTAAGAGTATTTCACGGGTTTAACCACTGACACTTTGAGCAAACAAGGAAATACTCATCGGCTTCGGTGCTCGGCTTCGGTGCTCATTTAAAGCCATTTACAGTTCTGCCCGCCCACTCGACTTCTGTCTTGACTCCATCATGGTTGGCTAAAAGATGAGTTTTTGCATTTTGATACGAAGGTTCTGTTAGAGCGAAAACTAGGCAGCTAGGCAACAGATAATCAGTGGAGTTCACGCTTTGTCTGATACCACAAGAGACAGTCCCCGCTTTAACCAGTCGCCCGTTGGTGGGCGTAGAGAAGGGGTCCGCAAAAGTACAAGCACCTAGTAAGAACAATGCAATCTAGAAAGGAAACAGGAATAACTGCAGACGAGCGCAGCTGCAGAACATAGTGAATGACCGGAAAAGTATCTGGAGAGTGTGTCAGCGAGCACAGCCCAACTTCACAGATTAAAAGGGCATCACCATACCCCTTTAATATTAATACTTAACTGTGAAATTGAACTGCATGGGCCACGCCAGCTAGCAACTAGCACTTTCTCTCCTGAAGTCTTGAAAACTCTCCTTCAGGTCTGTCAGGGATTGTTAATGAGGGCAACAGGCGTACAGGCGTATTCTAGTTTGCGAGTATAGGGTTGTAACTCAGTCTTTTTTGTGTATTCCACCTCCCCGCATCGCTGCACCCATCATCTTTAGATCATAGACAAAAAAAAGAAACGCTCATGAAAAAGAAACGTTCACCAGAAAGTAGTTTACGAGTGTATTCAGCTGAATAAGCCCGAAAGACAGGACTCGCTGCAGCGCGAGGAGACGCGCAGCCGTTGATCTCCTCTCCGCCCTAAGGCAGATAGGGGCCCATCTCTATTCTGCAGTAGAAGAGGGCTAGGGTTTTCCTGATGTTTTCAGTGGGGAGGCTTATTAATTAAGAGTGTTTTGGTTAATCCTTAGAAGGAAGGTTCTGATAATTTATATTATGTTCTACCGCAATCGTATAAATGGATTAAAATTCATGCCCTGTTGGGTCTCGTATAGCTGGGGAGATTCTTAATTGTATTTTTTTCCCTTTAGAATTGCATGCATTAACATTAGTATTAATATAGAAATATGAAGAATCGGAGAAATATGATTAGTATATTTTAACAATGGGTAAACAAATAGAAAAAGAAAATATAATTATTTCTTGATATTGTTTCCCCTTATCGTCAGAAAACGGTTGCAAGAGATGCATTATTGTAGAGTTCTCTGTTGCACTGTCTCTTTTATGCATGCGGTGATATAAAGTGTACGAAGCCTGTTGGCTTTATTCGGGATATTTTCGTGAGTGCAGCATGAAGAAGAATGTTGTGGGTGGAGCCTACTACAACACAGGTAAGCAACGAAGATCAGCATTCTTTATTATAAGCAGCTGCAACCTCTTCTCTAACCTCCAAGAGCCCTGGGCACAGCAGCACAGAGGCCTGGAGCTAATAGAGAGAGGAGACAACGAATTTCTTTTTGTTTGTTTGAGGTGCTGCAGCAGCCCTTGCTGCACCTATCGTTAAAACGCGATCCCCCGCGTCTCATGCATAAAATGATAACCTTATTATGAATATTTAACAGTTTATTAAGGCCTCCTCGAGCTTGTTATAACTCCTTTTCCTTCAGAAGCGAGGCTGCATGCAAGCAGAAATATTATAAACATAATAGAAAACATCGTTAGGCATAACTTCCAGTATGCATATATATGTATATTATATCTAATAATTTAATATATATGTATATAATATACATCTATAACATACATATAGATTAATATATATAATATATATAGATATAGATATTATATATATCTAATATATATATTAGAGATATACACACAGATAAAGATAATATAGAAATATCTACATATATAGGGGCATAGATATAGATATATACAGGGGGGTTATTCCTTTGTGAATGACGACTAATAAAGCAAACCTTAATGCCTTCAACAGACAAATAGTTGATTAATTAGATGAAGCTAATTAGAAGAAGAAAAAAAAGAAATATACGAAGTGCTGCATGCATGCAAGCAGCAGGGAGTAGGTGGCTGCTGCTGCTCTCAGCTGTTGAATCTCCTAGTTCTTGCCGTCTTTTCTTTTGTTTTCCTGTTTGGTATCTGCTATGAATTGAATATTATTGCTGCTATAATCTGCTTCTCTTCCTGCTGCACCTGCGAGGCACGCAGCATCAGCAGCAGCAACAGCAGCAGCAGCAGCAACAGCAGCAGCATTTTCGTCTTCCTTCCATTTTTATGACAGGTACAAGTTGCTGCATTGGATTTTTCAGCGTCGAAGAGTTTGTTTTTTATATTTTTTATTTATTTATTTGTTTATTTCTTCTTCTAGCTCCCAGGGCATCTGCCTTCTGCCGCCTCCGCTCGGGCGACGCAGAAGAGAGTTTGATATAGCAGCAGCAGCAGCAGCAGCAGCAGCAGCACGAGCAGCAGCAGCAAGAGCAGCAGCAGCAAGAGCAGCAGCAGCAGCAGCACGAGCAGCAGCAGCAGCAGCAGCAACACCCGTAAGGGGAGGAGCATCGGCGTCAAAACGACCCGCTACATCAACAGCAGCACCAGCAGCAGCAGCAACAGCAGCAGCAGCAGCAGCAACAACAACAGTGGCAGCTTCGCCCTGAGCCCGCTGGAGGCAGGCTTGGCGTCACAGGCAACAGTTGCAGCAGCATCAACAGCCGCAGCAGCAGTAGCAGCAGCATGTATGTGTAGAGAGCGCATATGGCTTGCTCCTTTTGCAGCAGTTGCAGCGCTAGCACCAGCAACAACCACATCAGCAGCAGCAGCAGCAGCAGCAGGAGTTGTGCATGCTTCTTTTTGGTTTAAATGCAAGGTGTACAGGGAGCATCCTCCTTCTTGAATAGCGATGAAGGCGCAGATACAGATGGAGGACACAGACAAGCGGATAAGAGTCTGATTGCATTTGCTGCTGCTGAGAGAGCAGAAGATGGCCTCGTTAGTTATATGGGCTCCTCACCTGCTGGAACAGCAGCAGCAGCAGCAGGAGCAGCAGCAGCAGGAGTGTCGTCTCCAGAGGCAGAGTCGGCTGCATCAGGAGCATCAGGAGCAGCGGGAGCTACCCCTACGACTACATCTGCAGCAGCAGCAGCAGCAACAGATGGAATGAACTGGCGTCAGATTCGACGCGGTAAGCGCCAGAAAAGCCTGCAGCGTTCTCTGCTGTTTACTCCAGCAGCAGGAGGAGGAGGAGGAGCAGCAGCAGCAGCAGCAGATATAGGGGGGTCTCCTGCTGCTTCTGCTGCATTTCCTTTGGGGTATCATGGATTGGGAGGCGGGTGGAAACGAGGTGTTGGAGTAGGAGGCAGCAGCAGCAACAGCAACAGCAGAGAGGGTGCTTACGGGTTTATTGCATGCGGCGATCAGCAGCAATCAGCAAAAACTAGACGTGCTGCTATTGCTCGTTCTTTGCTGCTGGCTTTTCTTTCTGCTTTTGTTGTTATCTGGGTTGCCAAACAAATTCATATGTTTAGATTTACTTCAAGTAACCTCACGGCTTTGCAGCATGACTACAAGCAGCTGCATGAAGAGCTGCAGAAGCTTTCGCATCCCTCTGCTGCAGCAGGAACAACAGCAGCAGCAGCAGCAGATGGTGGCGATGCGCAGCTTCTAGATGAGTGGAGCAGCGCACAGAGACGAATTGAAGGTCTTAAGAATTTAATTGCTGCTGCACGTGAGGGCTTAGCAGCAGCAGGAGCAGCAGCACGGCCTGGTGCTGCTGATGAAGGTGAAGATGAAGAGGAGGGCGCTCAGCAGTTGCCGCCCATGACAGAAGAAGCAGCAGCAACAGAAATAAGTAAGCTAGAGATAGAGCTTGTGCAGCTAAAGCAACAAAGAACAAACTTAGAAGCAGTAGTCAAACTTAAGGCGAGAGTAAAACATGAAGAAGCAACAGTAGCAACGCAGACAAGCAATGGGATCAGTTGCCCTGATGCCTGCAGCAACAGCAGCAGCAGCAACAGCAGCAGCAGCAGCAGCAGCGGTGAGAGCAGCAGCAGCATCACGAATAGTACCAGCAGCAGCAGCAGCAGCGGCGGCAGCAGCGGCAGTGGGGTGGATCTTCTTGCGGTGTATCTCCAGCTGCTGCTGCTTGGGAAAGTATTTGATGGGCTTGGAAGGAAAGAAGAAGCAGCAAAGGCGAGAGAGCTGAAAGAGAGGATGAAGCGCAACATTCAGCTGCTGCAGGAGACATGTGCAGCAGCAAGTTGGAGTGATGCTTCGGTGCTGCTGCTGCTAGAGAGAGACAAGCTGTATGAAGAGACAACAGCAGCAAAACAACAACTAGAAAAAGCATTATCAACATCTCCAAGCAAATTAAATAAAGTTGTTTCTGCTGCTTCTCATTCTGTTAGCGGCTCCAAACGTGCAATGAAAAAAGTAGGTGCTTTGCTGCGGTGGGGGTTAGGGCGTGGTGCAAGCAAAGGTGCAGCAGCAGCGGAGTCAGAGGAGACAGCAGCAGCAGCAGCAGAAGCAGCAGCAGCTATAGCAGCAACAGCGGCAGCGCGGGAGGAGAAGCGGCAGCGGGAGAGAGAAGCAGAAGCAAAAGAGATTGAAGCATTAGAGGCAGAGATTGCTGCAGCAAATTCATTTTTAGTCCTTGAGCAGCCGCGGCTGGTGAGGCTGCAGCAACTTGGAAGTGAAGAATATAAACAATGGTTGCAAACAAAACAAGATAATGCAGAAGCAGAAATAGAAAATGCTGCGTTTGCACTCGGACGCATAGAGTCAGCGCTGCAGTCTCCATCAGACCCCCCGAAGCAACGAAGACCTCATTCGAAACACCAGCAGCAGCATCAGCAGCAGCAGCAGCTGCTGCAGCAGCAGCAGCGCCACCACGCTGGGGTTTCTCTGTCGCTCCTCTCTCAGCTGAATAAAGCAGAGGAGGCAGCGGAAGGAGTTATGAGTCTTTTGCGTAAAGACGGAAGCTGATTAAATTAATTTTAATTAATTTAATTTAATAAAGAAATTAAAGCGGTTTGACTAAATCAGCAAACCCTATTATCGTAGTTTCTTTGTTGAACAAACTATGAATGTTTGATTTGTTTATTTTTTTCAAACAAATTAAATTAATTAAATTGATTATACAAACAAGTTGGATTAAAAATTTGATTTACTAAAATAAATTTATCAGGTTAGGCACACTGAATTAATTAATTAGACAGAATTCATCGTAAATAAACACATCGAATAAATTTTGCTAATTGAATAAATTATGTAATTCAAATCAGTTAAGTTAGGTGCATTAATTAAATATATATTTAAATGAATAAATAATGCAACAATAAAGCGAACAAACAGCGAAGAACAAACAAACGAACAACAAAACAAGCATTAAAACAAATCAAACAAAGATTAAAACAAATCAAACAAACAATACAACAAAGCAGAAAACAAACAACAAATCAACCAACCTAACAATCAAGCGAACAGTGCAACAATAACGAACAAAAAACAAACAATAAAACGAACAAACAAAAAATAAAGCAGACAAAATGCAAAAAAGCAAACAAGTCAACAAGAGAGACAAACAAACAATAAAACGAAGAATAAAACGAAGAATAAATCAATAGAACAAACAGACGAAGCAAGAAATAAACAAAACAAACAAGCAGCGAAACAAACAATAAATCAAGCACACAGACAAAGGAATAATAAATTCGAAAGGTATATAAGAGTTTCCCCCCAAATAATAGTCAAGGAGATGAGTAAGATAATAATTCAATTAGAAGACACAGCCGGCTAAATATAATTAAATGAAACGCATTTAAATTCGATATATTTTTTTAATGAAAAATATTTAAATGGAATATATCTGAATTGAAGTAGTGAGAGGCCAAGCAAGACAGAGCCCACCGAATGCACTTGCAAACAAAATAAGACAAAAGCAAATAAAACAGAAATAAATGTTTTAAACAAAATCAACAAACGTTGGATAAATGTTTTTTTGAGGAGACACCTCAGCACCCGGTGTATGTACACCTGGGGATTGTCTGTGGTGCAGGAATAAAATTTAAAAAATTAATAAAAATGCATAAAATATTTCAACGTTTTTATATATCTTTGTTGTTGTATTCGGGCTGATTAAGCCTACAGCTGGCTTCCAAACAACAACAACAACATAAGAATAAGAATAAGAATAAGAATAAGAATAAGAATAAGAATAAGAATAAGAATAAGAATAAGAATGAGAATAAGAATAAGAATAAGAATAAGAATAAGAATAAGAGTCAGAATAAGAATAAGATTAAGAATACGAATCAGAATCAGAATCAGAATACGATTAAGAATAAGATTAAGACTAAGATTGAGACTAAGAAAAAGGAAAAGAAAAAGAAAAAGAATAAGAATAAGAATAAGAATAAGAATAAGAATAAGAATAAGAATAAGAATAAGAATAAGAATAAGAACAAGAATAAGGATGAGAATAAGATTCAGAATAAGAATAAGAATGTTATTGTTGTTATTAAGGGTTTAGGGCCTCGGGTTCAGGGAGCAGCTTTTCTCTTTCTTCTTCTAGGTCAATCCTTTGGATATGTTGCTGCGTTTTGTTGTTTGTTTGTTTCTGTTGAAAGTATTCCATTTGACTGGTTTGTTTATTGAAGAGGCTAAAGAGAGCGCCAAATGCGAAGAGAGCAACAATAATAAAGAGAGTTTGTGCTCCTATTGCATGCAGCCCCGCGTAGTTATTAATTAACAATCTTTTATTTAAACTGTACAGATCAGACACCAGCCTCTGGCCTAGCAGAACGACAAGAGCGAAGCTAAGAGGTAATAAGAGTAAAGCAAATAAAGAAGCAACAAGAGTAAAGAAAGGAGCAGCAGCAGCACTACCTGCTAGAGCAGAAATGGCTGCAGCAAACATTACAAGACCTTCAACAAGAAAAAGAATACCAATGGTATTCATCTTGCTTAATGGGTCGTCAGAGATACGCACCCAGAAAATACTAAAATCTAAAATGCATATTGCAAAACAAAATAAACTAAACAAAATAGCACCATGCTCCAGAGACAGCCCAACCTTCCAGGTTCCTAGAGTACTCATTTTTAAACTTTTTCCTTCTTTTATCTCTTCCACCTTTTCATTCGATCCTGCCAACTCCTCAAACCCTAAACCCTCAAACCCTGAACCCCCTGCTGCATAAACGTTCCCTAGAGAGGCGTAAACATGCGTCATAGGAACAGCTGTTAATATAACGTACATTAAATCAATATTTCCCCATATCACCAACTCGCCTACTGTTGCATTTGAAGATAGCAATAAGATACCAAAGGCCGTCCATAAGTACATCAACAGCACCAATCCGAGAAAAGAAGAGAAAATATTCAACCAAGACAACGCGTAAGCCACACGTTTTGACTTGGTACATAGAGCAATATCAGTTAATAGGCTGACTAGAAGAAAGGTTATTGCAAGAGTAAGAAACCCGCAACGAAGAGCGGAAGCTGCAGAAAGGCTTCTCTTTGAATATGCCATCACCGCCGCCTCAGTGAAACTCCTCTTCAGTGGAAATACACCCAAAAATAACACCAAATTCCACGCCCCAGCCGCAGCCAAGAAAAAAGAATGAAGCCAAGCGGCAGAACCCAAAGAAAGGCAGTACTTCCATGGTTCCGATCGCCCGAACATCTTCAAACCTTAAACCCTAAGCCCTAAACCCTAAACCGTTGATTAAAAAGATTGTTGAAACTTGAAAGAAGAGGGACAAATTGCAGCTTGTTGTTCTGCTGAATTCAAAACAGGCGTGTCCTTGGTCGGAGAGTGGCGGTTTGGTTTGTTGTGCGGACAATAATACACAGAAGGTCCCTGGCTTTATTCTTTGCAATACAAAGCTTAAAGTCTTTTCTTCTGACGTATATATAAAGAACTCTGCTGCTAGAGATTCAAAAGTTGCTGCGCTGCAGCTGCCTTCTCTGATGCACGGCGGAGAGTTGCTGAGCTCTCTGGTGTACTTGCTGCCCTTGGCTGTTGTTGGTGTTCAGCTGGTGCTGATGAGCGAATAAAATCATAAAATTAAAGAATATTATCTCTTTTTATTCCTTTATAACTTTGTTTTCATGCTATACACGCAAGATTCCCCCGGAAGACCCAATTCAACGCCTAGCGCGCCTTCGTCGGCCGCTGTCGAGCCTCATTCACAGGTTGTTCCTTGTCTCGTGGTCGTCTGGGCTTCGCTGGCCTTAACTTGGGCACGGAATTCGTTTATTTATGAATTAATTTGTTCAATTATTCATTTTCAAAGACATTTTCATGTTTTAAGTTTCTGTAACTTCGTTTAAGTGCGATACGGGCTGACAGACAACAGCACCGCGCGCCGTGGACCATCCAGATCTGCCGAGATGCCTGAACGAACTCAGACAGAAATCTGCAAACAAATTAAAACAGCGAAAAATTGACTTTAAAATACTTTATATAAACTGTGTATAATAAAATACAACAAAAAGACCTTTTGTTTCGTTGCAAATTCAGCTTTACGTGCTATTTCCCCTTCGCGCTGAAACCTGCATTCGTTGAATTCAGTCGAAAGCCGTCATCTGCTGCCGCCGACGCATCGATTGCTGCAAAATGTTGAGGGGAAAAGGAAGTAAACATCAAACACTCTTCAAAAACTTGATAAAGTTCTTTCTTCGGTTCATTTAAATGCACGATTGTATATTATTTCAGTGCTCGCTTCGGCTGAGGCTGCAGATTCTTGTGACTGACTTCGCCATATCCAAGCACGTTGCGCAAAAGCCAATAAATAGATGGCAATAAAACTTTTAATTGAATTCAATGGAAAATACAGACAAAAGAAATGCTCTGCGTATTCGAAGGATGCCCCTTAGTCACCCGCAAGCCAGAAACACAAACAAATACTCCCTCCGCCAATAAAATAATGCAGCTTACTTCTCTTCAAGTTAAATGAAAATTACAAAGCAATATTTTCTATTTGTATATTTAAGTGTCTATTCCTTCACGATGAAACCCCACGTCACCTCTCCATATGAATTCACTAAACTCCCCCATGCGTTTGGCTGGCCTTCATGTCTTGTGTGCTGTCTACAGAGAGTAACAATATATATGCATATATATGCATAAATATGCTTATATTATATTTAATGCTACATACACTACAACTCGGGGAACAGCAGCAACAGCTGCTGCAGCAGCAACAGCCTACAGCAGGAGGTGCAGCAACAACTTCAGCAACAACTGCAGCAAAAATTAGAACTGCAGCACAACACCACCTGCGGCAGCAGAAGCAATAGCGGTTGATTTGAATTGGGTTGGGGGCAACTGACAAATTAAATTGCTACGCCCCTCCCAACCAGCTAGCTGGTAGCCAGCTAGCTGGGTAGCTAGCTAGCTAGCTAGCTAAATAGGTAAGATAGATGCTCTCCGGCTCCCCCTGCCATAGCCACAAGAGTCATAACATTATTTTTACTCTTCTGAAGGTTGCCGCCTCCACCATCCACTCCTCTGCACTGCCAGCAAGGGGAGCCGCACAACAACTAGCCAGCAAGGTAACCAGCTAGCTAGCTAGCTAGCCAGCTAGGTATGCGAACACCTGTGTGAATGGAACACGTTGTAAGAATTCCTGCGACGGTTCCTCCCGTCTGCAAAAGAAGGCCCGAGAGGGGAGAGCCTCTGAAAGTAATGTTTTTATGAGTTTATTAATAACGGAGTAAAGGATTTATGAATTTGTTTTCGTTTGGAGTTTATTTGCTACTGCACTTTGCAACGAGAGCAGCACTTGCTGCCTCTTATCTTCTCAACGGTTGCGAGGCTCTTAGTACTTTTCCCTGTTTTCTGTCGTTCAAGTGCTGCCTGCGCGCATGCAATCGAAACAACAAATCCACATATAGGAGATAGTGCAGTATCTATACCTTAGAGTGTATATACACCTTAAAGGAGGTTGTCTGTACACCGTGCGGTGTATGCACACCCTGCAATGCGAACGCGCCAAAGACAGGCAAAAGACGCTTAGAATTAGAATGTTTATATACAATTGCACCCGTAATACGAATACATATAATAAATGAAAATATATAGACATAAATATACAGAAAACCTTCTTACGATCATCGATTACACAGTACAATAACATGAGTGTGCTGCCCTGCTACTCCAAGAAGAGTTCTGCATCCTCTGCAGCGGCAGCAGCAGCAGCAGCAGCAAAGCCTTAGAAGAAAGTTCATAACCCACAGCCTGTTCAGAGGGGCCGCTGGCAGCGGGTGCTGCAGCATTTAATTTGTTCGTCTCCTCTAATACACGTTCTTCTCTCCCTTCAGTGTTGGTGTCGGCTGCTCGTGCGCTCACAGACGCGTCTTCTCCTCCTTGCGGTGTCTCTGCATCCGCTGCTGCTGCTGCTGCTGCTGCTGTTGCTTCTGCTGCTGCTGAGTCTTGCCCTTGAGATTTCTGACGTACTTGGGCCGCCTCAACTGCCGCTTCTGCTGCTTCTTTCGTTGGGGTTTCTGCTGCAGCTGCTGCATTCTTTGCTTCTACGTTAGCCGCAGTGGCAGCAGCATCGGCATCTGCAGCGGTTCCTTCTGCTGCGGCATCACCCGGTGCTGCTGCTGCCGCTGCTGCTGCATCCGAAGGCTCTTTGGACAGTGTCTTTGTTGCTTCGTTTTCTTCTTTGTTTTCGGGTGTACAAGCACCGGAGCTCCCAGCAGCAGCAGCAGCAGCAGCGAGGTTTTCTGGCGGGGGCAGCGAGAGTTCTTTAAAGACTTCTGCAGCAGCAGGGGACCACTGCACGGGGAGACGGCAATTTCCTTCCCAGATAACTCCGAAAGAGGTGAGTCTATCAACTGCTTTGTGTGCATTTTTATACGGTTCTGCTTCTCCTTGCACCTGTATAGAGGAACAAAAATAAAGCCTCAAAACAAGAAAGAACATAAAAACCCTAAACTGTAAAACCCTAAACCCTAAAACGGAAGGCCTGAAAACGATAGGAAAGTGACTGATAGGCAGCAGAAAGAACCAAAAAAGTATATCCATAGTAAGCAGATTAATTGTTGCTGCTGTTATTACTACTCCTGTTTATGCTGCTGCCTGATGCAGCAGAAGAGAAGAACAAAACAAACAAAACAAACAAAACAAACAAACAGCTCACGCTTCCTATTGCATAGGGACCCGGAGCCACGGGGAAAGGATAGAATGTCGTTATCTGCAAACAAAAAACAACAAAAGCAAACACCTACATATAGGTGTGCCTGCATGCGCGTTTTTGTACACAGCAGATATAAGCATTCATATGCGTGCAAATACACCCAAACAAGGAATACTTACATCCAAATAATATATATATATATATATACATATATATATACAAATATATATGTGAGCCTACGTATGTTGATGTAGATGCAAATATAGGTGTGCACATAGATACATACATATGCATACAGTTGAGTGTTCTTCCTGCGGCATTTAAACAACTAAAGAGGGATGTACATAAACGGCAAGAAGTGTACATACATACATTTGACGAAGTGCAGCTCCCCGGTGATATGCATGCACTTTAGTAGATGATTATATACACTTAAACAGGTGTGTAGAGACATAAAAAGCAGCTGCAAATGCACTTGAATAGACGATATTATACACTCCATGAGGTCTACATACACCTCACCTCTGGCCGAGTGCCGCCGTAACATTTTTCGAGCTGCCATGGGGTATATTCTTTCAGCAGTTCTTCCTCAAAGCCTGACCTGAGGCCATTGAAAGCACGCAAATAAGTTAATTATTTTTAATATTACTTATTCATTTAATTTTATTCTTATTTCGTAGTATTATGCTCAGAAGAAAGGCAAAGCAAATGCCTCAAACGGCAACAAAAATGACACACAAAACCACCGCCGGGGATACACCGCAGTTTGCATACACAGGAAGCAGAAAAGAACAATGAGATGTATAAACATGAAGTAATAGACACCTATTAGCTTTAAATGAGTTAATCAAGGAAGGAGGAAACAAACAAAAACACAGAACAACGAACAGGAAGAATGCCTATCTGATGATAGTCAAGGTGTAAATATGAAGAAAACAAATACCTCATAAAAAGCATCTTCTGCTGCTGCACCTCCGTCAAGAACTGCTTCGCTATGTTCCAAACAGTCTGAAGCAACAAACGCAAAACAAGCAAACCCTTCCTGCTGCTGCTGCTGGATCTGCTGCTGGCTATGCTGCTATTGGTGGTGCTGCTGCTTCTGCTACGCGTTGCAGCTGGCTCGCGGCATTCACGAGCAATGCAAACATATATAATATACACATATACATGCATACGTATTGTATACATATATATGCATCATATATTACACACAGTAGTTAGGTAATCTAACCAAAAACCTAAATAGTTTTAATACTACGGATTTGATACATTGTGTAGATAATACACATCACGTATATCATTTCGTCGTAACATACAGATACCATATGGATAGACATAAATACATATATATAGATATATTTATAGTGTATCTATTTGACATGAAATGCGGATAAAATAGTATACAAAACATACACAGATGTACATATGCATTCATATATTCACAGACAACAGGTATTAAGAATGTAATATATATATATATATATATATATATATGTCAAATGAATGTACATACATATATAATATACATGTAATAACACGTAAATTGAACATATACATATACATATATATATATATATATATACTTGTACTTATTTGTTTGCTTATATATTTACATACCTGTACGAAGAAGGAGTCGTTGATGATAAGCATTCTGTTGAGTCTGAAGGGATATTGCTTAGTGAGAGTATTCGTCATATCAGTCAAAGCACTGAGAGGGAATTGATGCAGAGGAACTCCGCGTACATCAAACAAAGTAGTAATTGTCTCCACACGCCCAGGGACCACTGAAAGGAGCCACACAAACAAAGCAGAAAAAAAGGATGGATCTAGCTGCTGCAACTGCAGCAGCAGTTACAGCAGCAGCTACACCATCAGCAGAAACAGCAACAGCGCCAGCAGCTGCAGCAACATCAGCTGTAGCAGCGGCAGCTGCAGCAGCAACAGCAGCAGTATCTCCTCGTCTCACTCAAATATCGCAGCCCCCATTCAAAGCAAAAGATTGTCAGTCGCTTAAAAGCCTCTGGAGATGCATTTTTATGCAATCTCGACAGCCTAAAGAGCAAATATGTAAAAATTAAAAATAAACAAATAAACAAAAAGTGAAGAAAGACTGAATAAATAAAATAAAGAATAAAAAGAGAAATAGCAAATAAAATACAGAAAAGATACACAAAAAAACAAAATATTGAATACGAAGAGAATAAGTAAATAAACAAATAAACAAATAACAAAGAACAAATGGAGAATAAACAAAAAAACAAAGAACAAACAAGTGAATTAAAAAAAGCGAAGAGCAAATGAAGAATAAGCTAGCAAACAAAGCTTTTTTTAAATGCGGAGGGAGAAACAAGCAAGAAAGAAGAAAACCAAACACGACGGAAGGAAACACAAGGAGTAGACAGACGAACAAGAGAAAACAAAGAGTAAACGAAATACAAAAGCATCAAACAAGGAAGAGGAAGAACAAACAAGACAGAAGCAAGCGAGAAAAAGAATAAACAAGGGACAAGAAGAAACAAAACAAGAAAGAAGAAGATGAAGAAAAGAGAAGAAAAACACGGAGGCGAGAAAAGCAACAGCAAACAAAAGACAACAACAGCAAACAAAGAGAGAGAGAGAGAAAAGAAAAAAAAGGCAAGAGAGAGGAGAAACACTCGAAAAATGAAAAGCAAGATGGACAAGAGTATATATATATATATATATATAT